GGGTTCAAATCTCCACCCACCACTAACTACATGTGGGAGCTTTAGCAGGTCATAGTCCCTTTCTGAGCCTCAGTAAAACAGAGAGCATGACACTGATGCTATGAAGTCCCCAATGCTTTGCCCAGCACATGGAGGGCATTTGAAGATGGGTCATCACTACCAACTCTCTCTTCCAGCTGGATGGCTGGATTGCTATGAGGTGGGGTATCCACATTTCTGTGCCCAGGGTTTCATTTCTGACATTTCCTTCCTGGTAAACCAGGCCAGCTAAAGTGAATGTGCAGTTGCATGGTTCATTATCCAATTCCAATTCTGAGCAAAGTCAGCAGGGAGCCTCATTGTCAGCAGCATGTGGGTGCTGCCTGGCGCACATGGGCTCCAGTTAACTGTGCTGTGTATAGGTCACACTCTTCTTTTTGGTGTTCTCTGTGGCACAAGCCCTTTCCAAACCCATCCTAGCTCCCTCCAAGATGTAGCTAACTAAATCATGTATAACCCTACTTCTAATTACCATTTACCTCATTTGCTTGTGCTTTTTAATTATAACACTGTTTCTACCCAACCACGAGTTATCAACCTTGCCTGTACATTGGAATGACGTGGAGGGCTTTAAAAAATACCGATGCCTGCTCTGAGACCTAGAGATTCTGCTTTAGTTGGTCTGGGATATGACCTGATATTGGGATTTTTGAAAGCTCCCTGGGTGATATGAACATGCAACCAGGGTTGAGAGCTTGTTTGTCAGGTGGAGGATCTTTTGGCAATCCACTTGGGAGTTGCAATTGGGTTGCTGAAAGGTCCTCCACCTGACTCCAACCCACTGCAGGAGGCTCAGAGGAACTCTGACATAGACTCTAGCACTACTAGGCCTGGTCCCTATTATGCTTGACATGGAGTCTCGCTCTGTCACCCAGGCTGGAGTACAGTGGCATGATCTTGGCTCACTGCAACCTCTGCCTCCTGGGTTCAAGCGATTCTTTGGCCTCAGCCTCCTGAGTAGCTGGGACTACAGGTGCATGACACCACGTCCAGCTAATTTTTGTATTTTTAGTAGAGATGGGTTTCACCATGTTGGCCAGGATGGTCTTGATCTCTTGACCTCATGATCTGCCTGCCTCAGCCTCCCAAAGTGCTGGGATTACAGGCGTGAGCCACTGTGCCCAGCCCCCCATTATGCTATTGACTTTCTCATTTCTGCCTTTTCTCTCTCTTTTGATTTCAAATATGTGAAATAAATTTTACATTTGTTATTTTTTCCTTTTTGGTGGCTGCATAGTATTCCATGGTGTATATGTGCCACATTTTCTTTTTCCAGCCTACCATTGATGGGCATTTGGGTTGGTGCCAAGTCTTTGCTATTGTGAACAGTGCTGCAGTAAACATACATGTGACTCTGTTTTTAAGGTTTCCCTTTGGTCTCCTCGGCCAAGACAGGGTCCGTTCAGTCAACTGGGGCTTGGGATTTTAGTTTTATTTCTCAGTGGTGACACTGACGCTTCCCAGATATTTCAGAAGAGCAATTTGCCTTTGTCCTGAGAAAATGTGATCTCCCTGACATTCCTTTCTCTTATCCTCCAAGGAAAGCACCATGGCAGAGATAAGAACTAAGGACTGCTTTCCCTAGACCCATGTTTACCACTGACACAACGCCATCAAACGTAGATACAAGTTTTGCTTAATATTTTATACATTGAACACTAAGAACAAAGTGTATTTACTGTGTTGGGAACTTTGAGCTCTCACTCACAAAGCATGCAACAGGATATTTGCGAGGTACTGTTCCTGGTGAAGGCAGCTGAGAGGTAACTATCAGTGGACAGTGATCCTAGCATGTGTGGAGAACTGCCAAGATAAACTGAACAAGGGTGATTTGCATGAAACATGGAGGTGGCTCCTGGGAATGAACTCACCCTGAGGAAAGAGAGGTTAGAGTCCACACACTGGGTCTAAGATATTCTGAGCACAGCATGGAGTGCCACTCAGATGATCTTTCAAGGTCTCCTGCCTAAGCTACAGGACATCAGCAACAAAGAAGGAAGCATTAAATGAACTAGAATATGAGACCACAAGAATTTAAGACTGGCCAGGCACAGTGGCTCACACCTATAATCCCAGCAATGTGGGAGGCTGAGATGGGCGGATCACTGTAACCCAGAAGTTCAAAACCAACATGGATAACCCAGCAAAACCCTGTCTCTACAAATAATACAAAAATTAGCCATGCGTGGTGGTGTGTGCCTGTAGTCCCATCTACTCAAGAGGCTGAGGTAGGAGGATAGCCTGAGCCCGGGGAGTTCAAGGCTTCAGTGAGCCATGACTGTGCCACTGCATTCCAGCTGGGGTGACAGAGTGAGACTCTGTCTTTGAAAAAAATAAAATTTTTTAAGAATTTAAGACTGAGATGTGACAATATACGGCTTCAACCCACAGCAGGGGAGATAGTATCAGCATCATCTCAAGGAAAGAAGACATAATTAGCAGGTTGGTTATCTGGGGACAATCTGCGGACTCGTGGAGTGGCCTTGGCACAAAGCACAGCACACACCGTGATGGGAGCCATTAACCTTGGTTAGACGTCAGAGGGCAGCAGTAGGAGCCGGGCACCCGCACCATGGTCACTGTTAGCATTTGCAGGCACCTGACTTGTAATATCCTAATCTGATTCTAAATAACTTTGTGGGTGAGGGTCCCAAAATACATATGCAGTTCCCCTGGTTAAACAATTCAAGTGAGAAAAGAAACACTTTATAAATAGGTTGGGTATTGCTCAAATATGGAAGACGGTAAGATGGTGCTTTTTACCTTTGAGTTATTCAGTATTTCACAAAGGCGGGTTTCAGAGATGCTTTGAGCACTAATAGCATTGTGTCTCCCAGGAGGATGTATGAGCTCTGGGTGCTTGTTGATTTATTTAAGCTCCTTGTAGATTCTGGATATTAGACCTTTGTCAGGTGGGTAGATTGCAGAAGTTTTCTCCCATTCTGTAGGTTGCCTGTTGACTGTGATGCTAGTTTCTTTTGCTGTTCAGAAGCTCTTTAGTTTAAATAGATCCTATTTGTCAACTTTGGTTCTTGCTGAAATTGCCTTTGGTGTTTTGGTTATGAAGTCTTTGCCTATGCCTATGTCATGAATGATGTTGCCTAGGTGTTCTTCTAGGGTGAAAAATTGCATTTCTAACACGTTCCTGAGTCAGGTTGAGGCTGCTGGTCTAGGAACTACACTTTGAGAACCACTGATAACACCTTATTAAAATAATAATCACAGTTTTTGGGTCAGAGGATTAAATGGGAAAATTAATGCCAAGCACTCAACACCACGCCTGGCATTCGTGTACATTCCACAAGTTCTGGCTATGATTCTGAAGGGTGGCCTGATAAGTCTCATCCCATGTAGTCGGTATTGCCAACACATCTCCTTCCATCTGATGCTATCATCTCCTTTAAACAGGTAATCCAGACAAGGTCCTGAAATTTATGGCTGTTGCAGAGAATCAAATTGTGAGAGTAATCGATCTGACCCTTTCGATTGGCATGAGGAAACTGAGGTCTGGAGAGACAAAATGACTTTCCCAAGGTCACATGGCAAGTCAGAAGCACCATCTCTATGCTCTACTTTTTTTATGCAGTGAAGGGGCTAGGTGGCATTTTCCCTTTCCTGTTCTTGTACTGACACTTCTGGGAATGCATGAAACATAAGGCAAGTACTTATGCCTCAACATTATATCAAGAAGATTACTGAATAAAAAAGTGGCCAGAACACACACATACTAAATGTGAAGCTCACAGCTTTTGCAGCCAGGACCCAAAACCACGCTCCAGCATGTTACCTTCTTAAGTGAATGCCCAAGGCTTTTATAGTTGGGCAAATCTGCTCCCCGTCTCCTGGCTTAGCTCATTCCAGGGCTATAGACTGTCCTTTCCCAAGGGAGTTGATTCACACTGCTTCCATGCTCTGAGATCCTGAAGTAAGCCTTCCCCATCCGCCACGACAGAGAGTAAAAGTAGAGCCTGTTCCAACTGTTCTATCTCAGTCTGTTCAACAAACAGTTACTGAGCACTTGACAATTGTGTATGTGGTGTGGTGATAACTGAATGGACGGTCCAGAGAGGGTCAAGACAGGGCAGCTGCCACCTGGAGATGTTCATGATATGGGTTTTTCCAAGAGGAAGGGTCCAACTGGAAAGATGTACCTGATTCTTAGGCTTCTGTTTGGGTCTTTATTTTTTTTTTTGCCATTTGAAGGGGTGCACCATTCCTGGAAGTACTGCAATACCAGGTCAATGCATAGAGTGGACAGAGCAAGCTCCTATTCCATCTCCCTGCTCCAAAAATTCATTTACTATATTGTTCTTGGATAGAGGACATATCAGATATTAAACTGATACCACACTTGATCTTACCTAAAAAGGCTGAGAAGTGAGGCTGCCTGTGTCTTGAGTTCATTCTCTCCCCACTGATGTTATTTGCTTCCCCTTGACAGGAAGATGATGCCTGCTAGAAAGCCTCTGAGGCTCCTTTTCCTTTCTGCCTGGATTTATGTGGCTGCCAGTATCGGAGCAGTTTCTACCACCCACACATTTCCTTGTTAAATGATCAGGCCTCTTCCCACAGGGAAGACCTTCATTAAAAGAGGCAGCTGCTGCCACACAGACCTGCAGGCTTTCTCAGGGCTAGAGCATGCGGGGGTGCAGTGGGCAAAGCCAATGGAGGCACAGGCCAGGTCCCAGCGGTTTCCTGGAGGCCCCGCCCTAGTAATGAGGGCCCAGGCGTGCAGCTGACCCTTTGAAGATGTGTTCTGAAGCTCTCTCATGGTGATCAGTGACAGGAGCCCAGACTCCTGCTTTAGCCAAATGATAAAGTTGGGCTCTTTTATGAGGAAAGGAACTCATCATTGGAAATCAAATTACAAATTAATTAGCAGCTTCCTCTGGGGCTGAGTGTAAACATCAACACCACCCAATGAGGAATTTCCATCATGAGCCCCCTCACTGCAAGGGCATAAATGGCAAGGGCACCATGGGGTCTGTAGACATCCAGGCAGCTGTGGTGGAGGAGAAAGGGCCTCTCCAACATGACATCCGCCTGCTGCGTCACCAGCAACTTGCAAGCCTCTCTCAAGAGCTGCCCCCGGCCTGCCTCGGTCTGTTCCGGCAGTGTGAACTGCCGGCCTGAGCTGTGCCTGGGCTATGTCTACCAGCCCATGGCATGCCTGCCTTCTGTCTGCATGCCCACCACCTTCCGGCCATCCAGCTGCATCTCCAAAACCTATTTATCCAGTTCCCGCTGGCCAGCCAGTGGCATCTCCAGCACCATGGGCCCCGGCGGCTGGTACAGTGAAGGGGCCTTCAATGGCAATGAGAAGGAAACCATGCAGTTCCTGAATGACCGCCTGGCCAGCTACCTGGCGAGGGTTCGAGAGCTGGAGCGGGAGAACGCGGAGCTGGAGAGCAGGATCCAAGAGGCCTCTCACTCCCAGGTGCTCACCATGACTCCTGACTACCAGTCTCATTTCAGGACCATTGAGGAGCTCCAGCAGAAGGTGAGGGCAGTGGCGAGGTGAACAGGCTCTCTGGGAAGGGATCTGGACTAGCTGGCATTCCAGATTTGAATCTCGTTAGCTTATTAAGCTATGTTCAGGACAAAGAGACCTCCCTAGGGCACAGGGTTATTTTATAATGTGAGCACTTAGCCTGAGGCTTTCAGGTGGAGAGATCTGGGATTTAGTCTCAATTCTACCGTTGCCTCAATGCATGACTTTGGGAGGTCCCTTCCCTTCCCCAGGCCTCAGCTTTCTCATCTGTAAAACAGGGATAATAATGGTCATTATCTAATGGGGTTGTCAAAGGATTCGATGAGATGATGCAGGTCAAGTGCTTGGAACAGCCCTTGGTCCACAGTGAGTTTTCAGTAAATGTCAAGGACCCTTCTAACTGTCACATGAATGACTTCAGACATGAGATTCTTTCCTTCCACATTGCTCAGCGCATCCAAAATGGGGAATTTGAATTTACAAAGCTCCAGGCTCCTAAAGAATACATCTCAAGGCCGGGCGCGGTGGCTCAAGCCTGTAATCCCAGCACTGTGGGAGGCCGAGGCGGGTGGATCACGAGGTCAAGAGATCGAGACCATCCTGGTCAACATGGTGAAACCCCGTCTCTACTAAAAATACAAAAAATTAGCTGGGCATGATGGCGCGTGCCTGTAATCCCAGCGACTCAGGAGGCTGGGGCAGGAGAATTGCCGGAACCCAGGAGGCGGAGGTTGCGGTGAGCCGAGATCGCGCCATTGCACTCCAGCCTGGGTAACAAGAGCGAAACTCCGTCTCAAAAAAAAAAAAAAAAAAAAAAAAAAGAATACATCTCAAGTTCTTCAAGGACTAGCAATTCACTAAATATCTTCCAGAGTTCTGGGGAAGAGGGCCTTCTGCAGGGCTGGCTGCTGGGGTGCTGGATGCTACCTTTGCTGCTGTCTTCTCTTCATTTGGATTCTTCTTCCTTCTTCTCACCCTGAACTAACCCTCTCCATGTGCCCTGGCCCACAGATTCTGTGTACCAAGGCAGACAACTCCAGGATGGTCGTGAACATTGATAACGCCAAGCTAGCTGCTGACGACTTCAGGGCCAAGTGAGTTTGGCCAGGGGACAGGGTTTGGGGGAGGTCCTGTCCTCATAGGCTCTCTGGCAGGTTTCCATTAGTTTCACGGAGGGTTGGGAAGTGCCGGCAGTCTAAGGCCTTCCCTGAGTTCTGCATTCAGTTTGACCCTCGGTTGCTGACCCTGTCCCTGTGCAGGTACGAGGCGGAGCTGGCCATGCGGCAGCTGGTGGAGGCCGACATCAACGGCCTGCGCAGGGTCCTGGATGATCTCACTCTGTGCAAGGCCGACCTGGAGGCCCAGGTGGAGTCCCTAAAAGAGGAACTGATGTGCCTCAAAAAGAACCACGAGGAGGTAAGGCTGGAAGTCACGCTGAAGTGGCCCCGGGAAGCAGAGGGGAAAGAACATGGGGTATGGGGTTGGATAAACATGGGTTGAATTCCCAAGCCTGACACATGTTGTTTCAGTGAATATGCCCAATTTATGGAATCTTCCTGAGCCTCCTCCTCTGTAAAATGGGTACGGCACTATCATGGAGGGTTATTGTGAGGATTTAATGGATCGGATATGAACATGGAAATCCCCAAGGCATGGGTATGAAACACCCGCCACTTGCTCAGTGCTCAGAAGTATAGTCCCCTTCCCTTCTGCGTTTCCTGGGCTAGTGACTGCCACGCGCTCATTCCTGGTGACTGCACATGTTTTCTCGAGAGCCACACACCAGAGGTGGAGTGGTGCAGTGGTGCCAGGGGTGAGTTGTGTTCCGGATCTCATGTTGAACGGCCTGTCCATCTCTGCCTGGCCAAACTCTCAGAAGCAGTCCCATCTCTTCCGAGAGGGCGTAGAGCTGCAGTGGTCTCCTCCTTGGCCCCCATCCTTATTTTGTCCTCTCTTCTGTTTGCACATAAACTACTCAAGCTGAAGCCACAGGCAAACCCTTCACTTTGTTTTTTCCTTATCTCCTGAAGTTTCTCAGAGGGAAAGCCCTCTGCTTTGGACACCTGTGTGCTGCCAAGCCCACCTGAGCCATGGCATTTTTTCCCCTCCTCCCTGGTTGACTCTCAACCTCTTGACTTGGGATTTGAATGAACAAGTGCCTCTGAATCTTGGCTGGGTTTCCTCAGGCTTAAGTGTAAAGTAACAGCCAGTAACCACGTACTCACTGAGCACCCCCGGGTGCCTGACTCATCTCACTCAAATCAGAGAACTGGGAACGACACCAAGAAGCCACTAATGAGAAGTTATCACACACCCCGGCAGCCTCAGTGATAACTTTCCCTCTTTGGCAGCCAAGCCTGGGAGGCAGCTGCCCTAACCTGGGCCTTGAACTAGTCAAGCTGGGCTCCTGCTACCCTCCTCCCAGGATGAACACAGGCTGGGAGGGTGGCTGGGAATACTAGGGGGACTGGTTTCCCATTTTAGCCCAGATGCATCCAACAAACCAGGACGCTGCTCTTGGCGTCTGCCAAAGTAATAGGAAATGTGCTGCAGTGAGGCTCCTGTCACAGGGGTATTCAGCTGGAGTCTGAAGAGCACTGGGATGCTGCCGGGTGGACTGCAGTCCTTGGGGGCCGTCTAATACTTCCGTCTTCAGCATCTTCTGTTGCATCTTTTCATGTCTCCTGGGGAGGTGAGGCAGGATCGTATGATTGTCACACTTGCCTGGAGTTCTTGTGCCTTTTCAGGAAGTTGGTTCCCTTCGATGCCAGCTTGGGGACCGCCTTAACATCGAGGTGGATGCCGCGCCCCCGGTGGACCTGACCAGGGTGCTGGAGGAGATGCGGTGTCAGTATGAGACCATGGTGGAGGCCAATCGCAGGGACGTGGAGGAATGGTTCAATATGCAGGTGGGACTCTCACGGTGGGGGCAGCCTCCTCCATGTCCCTAGGAAGGGACTCCAACCTTCTCCTTCCCCCCACCGCAGATGGAGGAGCTTAACCAGCAGGTGGCCACAAGCTCTGAGCAGCTTCAGAACTACCAGTCAGACATCATTGACCTGAGACGCACGGTCAACACGCTGGAGATCGAGCTGCAGGCCCAGCACAGCCTGGTGAGAGCTGCTGGGTGGGCACCCTCCCTCTGGATCCTAGGCATACTGAGCATAGGTATGGGCCTCCAGGAAGGAGGAAGAGGAGGCCCAGATCCCAGCCACTATGGATGCTAATCCTGTTGACCTTTCCTGGAGGGAGATTTTGTCCGAGATCCAGCTCAGAGATAAAAGAGGCATATTTCAAATCAGACATGTGTTATGTGGACACTGTCAAACTTGACTCCACAAGAAGATTTGTTCTGTGCTTAGCCTGCCTTTCTGAACCTAGGCAGGTTCAGAATCTCAGTATCACCCATCCTGATGCCCAGGCTCTTCTCTGGACCAACTCAACCAGAGTCTCTGGAGGTGACGTCAGGTCATGAGTATATTTTGAGGGCCCCCATGTGGCTCTAATGTGCAGCCAGGGTTGAAAACCACTGTTCTAAATGCTGCCATCAGGGAGGTACTTGGGAAATCTCAGATCCAAAGCCCGAGGCCAGACAAAGGTTGTAGAAGGAAGGAGAAATTTAGGATCAGACTTACGAATTGAAACTGTGGTTCCATCACGTACCAGCTGTTTACCTTTGAACCAGTCATTTGACCTTTCTGGGCTTCCGTTTCCACAGTGACTCAGGAAGGGAGGGCTCATTCCCAGCACCAAAGGGAGGTTTGGCTCTTCTTGTTTCTTTCTGAAGCAGGTCATGGCAAACAGCTCCTCTCCTCATGGTTATGTCTTCCTTTGCCTTAGAGGGACTCCCTGGAAAACACGCTGACGGAGAGTGAGGCCCGCTACAGCTCCCAGCTGGCCCAGATGCAGTGCATGATCACCAACGTGGAGGCCCAGCTGGCCGAGATCCGGGCTGACCTGGAGCGGCAGAACCAGGAGTACCAGGTGCTGCTGGACGTCCGGGCCCGGCTGGAGTGTGAGATCAACACGTACCGGAACCTGCTGGAGAGCGAGGACAGCAAGTACGTAGGCACAGCTGAGGCTCAGAGAGATGGGGGCGGGGATTCTGGGAGGTTATAGGAAGCAACTGGACCTACCCTTGAGGGACCATCAGCTTAGAACCCTATCCTACCATGGAGCCATTAAGGAGCTGGTATGCTCTGAAAGAAGTCAGGCGGTGGTTTTCATGCTGCCATCCTGTACCAGGCCCCTTGGAGACCATTGTGTCTCATTCTAAGCTGGCAAACTCCTTCTAACTGCCCGCCATGGGGCAGGCTTTATGGAGGATACCAAGACAGAGGAAGGCAGGGCATATGCTCTCCTATTGTTTCCATGTGTTCAGGGAGATAGGCAGACAGGTGACGAGGTGGTGGCATGTAGGGAGCTTAGAATGAAAGGCAGCTTTGTTAATAGGACCTGCACAATCCTGCTCCCACCTCTTACCCCAGCCTCACCTCATAGCTCCATTGCTCTCAGAATGGAGGTTTTGGCATATTAGGAGGATGATCAGTAGCCTCGTGTAATTGAGCCCTAGTGGGGAGCAGGACAGGAAAGATCAGCTGTGGCCCATTTATGGAGAACGACACAGGTCGTGCGGGGAAGGGAGGGCTTTATTTTATAGGCAAGTGGAAGGCCTTACTGTTTTTTTTGAGGAGAAAATGAGAGAATTTACTATGTGTCTTCTCCACTAGATCATAAACATCTAGAATGCAGAGACATTATAATACATTTTTATTCCCTGTACATGGCACACAGTAGATCCTCAGTAAATGTCTCTCAAGCTCAAAGCTGTTCCTCAAGAAGATGGCCCTGATAGCAGCAGGAAGAACTGAGTAGAGGGAGGGGAACCAGGCAGAGAAAGTATTCAGGAGGCCCTGGCCACAGCCTAGGTAAGCAGTGGGGAGGGCCTGAGTTAGGGCAGCAGAGGCATCAGCTCTAGACACTGTGCAGGTAGAATCAGCAGGACTTAGTGGCTGTCTGAATGCAGGGTACCTCTGGGTCATGGACACCTGGTGGACTAGTGACTGATGTAGCCGTTTCTTATTCTGCATTTAGCCCTGCTTCTCTACCATTCAGAACCTATAACTTCAGGGCAAGTGTTGCAAAGTCAAATATTTGCAAGGGCCAGGTCATTAACATGCATGAATGACGTGGGTCATATGGAGACTGTGGAAAAGCAGACAGCTCTTGCCTTGTGCAATCCAGGCAGTGCCATGTCCTCAGGGCCATTTCCATTCTGTGAGAAGCAGGTCCAGTATTGCTGGATCTTCCGATAGTTCCAAGGAAGCTGAGAATCTGGATTTTTAAAAATGTTAAATTCTCCTGATGCTTAAATATTTTCAACAAGTTAAAGAAAATGCAGTGCCAAGCAAATGGAACACATTTCAGGTTGCATGTGATCCTCAGGCCTCCCATTGGTTCTCTGAGCTATTGGGTTTCCATCCAATATCCAGTGTGTTGTTTCTGGTTTTAAGTGCATGGCTGTCAATCTCTGAGATCATCCTTAATCCTTTTACCATGTATTCGTTCTTCATTCATTTATGTTGGAAACAGATGCTTGGTGCTGCAAAGAGAAATCAGCACTGAGACAAAGGATCTCTCAGCAAGGCAATTTTACTTTCTGCAGAAAGGGTGCTACTTGCCAGCAGTCTTGCCACGAGAGTGTAATGAACAAAGGAAAGGCAGGCATATTTACTCCTTATGCATTGGGTCCTTACTGCTGTGTCTGATCTCAATTGGTTAGAGCCAGACCTCACAATCTAAACTAAACCCGATTGGCCAACAAATTAAAGCTTTTCTTAACAGGTAAAGACAATGGAGAACAAAGGAAAAGGGAGTCTAAATAAGGAAGGGACAGGAAGTTGCTTGCAAAAGGACTTAGAAAAGTAATAACATAAGTATCTTCGTTAAAGTACAAGGACAAAGAATGTACTATGTGCTTGTGAGCATGTCTAGCACAACTATCTTGGTTAAAGTATAAGGACATAGAATGTACTTATTCTCTTATATCTAACAGCTACATAGGATAAGGCTTAACAAAGAGTTACTAGCATAAAGCAAGAAGGCTTTGAAGAAAGTTAGTCTTTAAAAGAAACTATTATTTCTAACATATATTATCATTAAACAGTAAGTGAGACTTTGAGGAGGAATTTTTACTCTCTACAATTTGTTATTTTGTCTTATCAAAATATTCTTATTTGGTGCCTATTATATGCCAGGTATGCAGGGTGGGCATGTATATGTGGCTGCGGGCCTCACTGCCTGGCAGGGGAGACAGACCATAATAGAAGGATTACTAATCACGACGAAAGGAGATACCTGTACCATGGGGGCTTTGTCTCAGAGAGATGGGGAGTCTTCAAGGAGAATGTGACAGTTGAGTTAAACTCTTAAAGCAGAAATGTAGGTGAGTGGAGAGGGAAGAGGGTTCCAGAGATGTAGGATGCAGGGCACAGGTCCTGTGGCCTGAGCAGTGTAGTCCCTGCAGTAGCTGGAAGAAGGTCAGAGTACCTGCAGCTCCAAGAGCAACGGAGCTGAGTGAGGCTGGGGCAAGAGGTGGGAGCAGGATCATGCAGGTCCTATTAAGGAAGCTGCTTTTCTTTATTTTTTTATTTTACTTTAAGTTTGGAATACATGTGCAGAACGTGCGGGTTGGTAACATAGGTATACACGTGCCATGGCGGTTGCTTGCACCTCTCAACCATTCATCTAGGTTTTAAGCCCTGCATGCAGTAGGTATTTGTCCTAATGTTCTCCCTCCCCTTGCCCCTGACTCCCTGACAGTACCTGGTGTGTGATGTTCCCCTCCCTGTGTCCATGTGTTCTCTTTGTTCAACTCCCACTTATGAGTGAGAACATGAGGGGTTCGGTTTTTTGTTCCTGTGTTAGTTTGCGAGAATGATGGCTTCCAGAGGAAGCTGCTTTTCATCCTAAGCTCAAATGGAAGCCACTGAAGGTTTTAGGCAGGGGAGAAACATAATTGGATTTGTGACTGTAGAAGATTGTTCTGGCCACTAAGTGGACAGTGGTTAGAAGGGGCTCAAGCAGGGTTGGGGAGATCAGTTAGGAGGACAAGAGGTGACTAGGGCAAAGATGGTCGGGTCTGGGACCAGGGAGGCTGGGCAGAGAAAGCGCAGTAGATGGGGTTGAGAGGCATCCGAGGGATAGAATCAGCAGGACCTATGCCCGAGTGGGCCTTCTCTACTAATCCTGTCCCTCTGTGACTTTCTCCTGCAGGCTTCCCTGTAACCCGTGCTCCACTCCCTCCTGTAACCCCTGTGCACCCTCCCTGTGTGTGTCCCGCACCGTCTGTGTGCCACGCACCGTCTGCGTGCCTTGCTCGCCCTGCCCCCCGGGCCGCTACTGAAGTCCCTCTGCATCAGTGGATCCTGGAGGGCCTGGTGTTCTGTGGCCACCAAAAAGAGCAGGGGCAACCCCGGCCAGCAAGGAATATCCTGAGCAGGACCGTGGATCACCTGCAACAAGCTCTGATACTCCAGGGGACACTCCAGCCCTCACCACTTCGAAACTGCCTCTTTTTCCCGTGGGTGAACTGTTCTCTTTGGTGATGTTTCTGGTTGTCTGTGCTGCCTCAAAGAGCGAGTGTTCTTAGTTAACTGGCAAATAGAGCGGCACTCAATGGCCCTGCAAACATGTCTGTCTCTGCTTGTCACTTATGCTGCTGCGTCCATAAGCCAATCCTACTCAACAGGGCTCAAGAGGAACGTGGGCAAATTCTTTCTTTGTTTTTATGCTGCTTCTGCTTCCACAGAGGCTTGAGAGGTGTTCACTAAAAAGGCCCGCATGCCATAAACCAGTTAAAACTAATCAATTGCTCTGGGGCCAAGTAATAAAAGAATAAAGGGAGGAGGGAGATAGTTATGCCAGAAACTTAGGCCAAATTACTGTAATTGAGAATAATAAACCCACCTCTAAATCTCATTACAGCTGGGACAATGGGATCATTCATTCTTTCAAAATGTCTTCACTGAGTAGCTACTGGGTGCAGGTTCTGCATTAGAGGCTGGCTAATCCAGGGGAGAGTTCGCAGATGCATTGTTAGTAATGCCCCATTGGATTAAATGAGGCATTCCTTGCAGCAATCTATGAAAAAGATACCATTATTTCATCCATTTGGTAAATGAGGAAACTGAGGCCCAGAGAAGTTAAGAAACTTGCCCGAAGCCACACAGCTGGTAAGTGACAGACCCAGGACTGAAATCGAGGCCTTCAGGCTCTAGAGATGCTCAGACAATTCACATTTACAGTCCTGTTTACAAACGACATCTTGGTGCGGGGGTATAAAAAATGCAAGTGATCACTACCATTCAGACACTTATAATTACAGGAGGAGCTAAGACCAGTGCACATAAGACTGCGCTTCTTTCCCCGTAAGGGTGATGTAGTAGTAACAGTAACAAGAATAATGCTGACAATGGTTACTACTTCTTGAGCACTCATAATGCACCAAGTACTGTGTGGAGCATATTACATAAATTAACTTGTGCAGTTTCATGACCACCTTGTAAGGTATGCATAGTGTCCATTTTAGACATGGACATGGAGGCATAGGATGGTCAAGTCAGTGGGTCAAGGTTACATGCAAGGACAAAGACTTGAGCCGAAGTCTAGCAGCACAGCAGTGTCATTTTAACCATTCTAACTGCCAAGTTCCTACCCGGAAAGAGTAAAGACTAGTCAAAATTGGGAGAGAGTCTTAGCCCGAGAAGATCTGAAATGAGTCTTGTAGCTGGTGGCATTTGAAATGGGTATTTGAGGTTGAATAGGGGGTCTATGGGGCACCAGATAGGTAAGTAAGTGTGTGGGGGTCTTCAGGAGAGCCAGGGTCATGTGTGGGAGGCCTTGGGGGGCCTTGCTGGCTGGAGCAGTGGGCTCCTGTGAGAGGCTGATGGGGATGAAGCTCAAATGGTAGAAAGGCCTCAGATGGTGGGAGGGGGGGTCTTGGGTACCCCACAAAGAGCCTGGACTCTGGACTCTATCCTGAAGGCAGAGGGAGGGCTGCTGCAGGATTTCAGCCCCAAAATAACATGGCTGTAGTGGAATCTTAGAAAGTTTCACCAAGGAACACAGACAGGATGGCTGAGAGGAGGGGACAGGCTGTGGAAGAAGCGAAAACAGAGTTTTAGCTAAGGCAATGCCAGGAGTCATGGAAAAATGAAGAATCAATGTAAGAGACACTGTGATGGGCCTGACTTGGCAATGGACTGGCCATGGCAGGTAAAGAGGAGAGAGCTGGGGACAGGAATCTTGAACACCTTTCTGAACCTCACCCTCCAAACACAGAGTTGTTTTTTAATGAGCTGAGATGATGTCTCTATTAAGTATCCTCCCTCTGGCCTTGCCAAGAAATGATGAAAAATGAATTGGGTCCTGAAGCTGCCTGTAGGGTCTCCAGACATGATCCTGCAGGCATTCCTGGCAGACAAGGTCATTAGCCTGACAGCGGAGACATGAACATACTGCTCAGCGAGCTGTGGTTCCTGGTTGATGGGTGGGTAAAGTTTCAAGGAGCTGAAATGCCAAGGGAGAGGGGCTTCTGGTTAATTGGATTTTCTCATAACTGTGCAAACCAGCAATCCTTAATTTCAACCCCAGTGCACAACTTTTCTGGAATGTGCTTAGCCTGATAAGCAACACACTGAACAGACCAAATCTTTGGTTCTATAATACTAGACCTGTTCTGTCCAATACGGTAGCCCGTAATGACTTACAGCTGTATACCGAGACATTCCCCGAGTTGCACTCGTCACCCGTGGCTAAGTGGTAGTAAATAGGACAATACACACATGGAGTGTTTCCAACACTACAGAAAGTTCAACTGGACAGAGCTGTCTTAGACTGTCAGAACTAGAAGGAGCCTTCCAGATGATCTGGCCCAGCTTTTCCAGTTTTGCAGAAGAGGCATCTCAGACCCAGGGAGGTGGAAAGATGTACTCACAGACACAACCAGCAGGTGGGAATGGAAGCCAAGGGTTTTGGTGCAAGCCTCGGAGGTCTCTCCAAGCACTTTATGCTTTCTCCAGGCTCCCCAGGTTTATTATTATTTCAGGCTGATACATATTTCCCCTTTCCCTTTCTTTCGTTTCCCAAAGAAGGGAGACATTTTCTCTGAGAAGCTGAAAAGTCTCCCTGGGAATATAGTTCTCTTAAAAAGCATCACTAGCAACTACCAAACTCTTTGAGCACTAGGGTCAGTAAGAGCAAAGACCTTGAGCTGCAGCCCAGAGCCTCAGCAGGAGTGATGGCACAGGAGTTGCAGGCTGGAAGTCCCTGCCCCTGGGCGCCCTGGGGATTTCCACGGTCTCTGTTTCCCCAGCCCATATTGTTCCAGTCCAGCTTGGTCCCCATTCCCACACCTCTGTGTCCTTCCCACTTGCCAAGACCTGTCTGACTCCCCAGATGCCTGTTAAGCATTTTTATATGAAACCAAGTCCCACAGCCCAGGGCCAGGAGTACCCTCTCTGCTGGAAATGATGCCTCTCATCTTCTCTGTCTGGGTGGTACTTCAAACCAGAGGTGTCATGAGCTACCCTCCTGCCTAGCCTGTCTCATTTGATGGATGAAAAAGCTATGGGCATAGAGTTTGGGACATATTTATCCCCCACCAGCACCGGGATCTCCTGGAAACTGGACTCAATGTACCATGCATGGAACTTCTCAGAGGAACTCTTCCCTCATATCAAAGCATTTAGATGTAATTAACTCTTTATAGGGGAAGAGTTTATAGGGAAATGTAGGCAGGATGCTGGCCAAGTCACAAAACCTCTGTCTATTTGATATTTTGGAGAAACCCTCACAGGTGGATCCTCTCTGAGTGGGACCGGAAAAAAAAAGTGTGCTTTTTATTTAATTAATTAATTAATTAATTAATTAATTTTGAGATGGAGTCTTGCTCTGTTGCCAGTCTGGAGTAAGGTGCATGATCTCGGCTCACTGCAACCTCCATCTCCCAAATTCAAGCAATTCCCCTGCCTCAGCCTCCTGAGTAGCTGGGACCACAGGTGCGTGCCACCATGTCCAGCTAATTTTTTTGTATTTTAGTGGAGAGGGGTTTCACCATGTTTGCCAGGATGGTCTTGATCTGACCTTGTGATCCGCCCGCCTCGGCCTCCCAAAGTGCTAGGATTGCAGGCGTGAGCCACTGCGCCTGGCCAGGGTGTGCTTTTTAAAGACATACTTCCCCCAAGGCTATTAAAGAGTCTGGGACTTACCCCTGCTGCTCACTGCCCTAGTGCAAAGCATCCTCTTCTGGGGGTGGCTGTGAGGGCCAATAGGGCAGAACTGCCATTCAGGGAAGACTGTCCAGAGGGCGACAGCTTCTTGAAATATTCAGGAGTCGGGTTTGGCATCTGGGAGATGGGGCCATGTGTGGACTCTGAATTGCACTAAATGAATTTTTCCCTCCCCACTATATTAGGAAGCCTTTTAGAGTGTGATCAGAAAAAGAATATGCCTCTTCCAGGCTATAACCAGGAAAATCATTAATAATAAAACAATATTCTTTTTAAATTTCATATATATATATATTTTTGGAGACAGAGTCTTGCCCTGTAGGTCCAGCTGGAGTGCAGTGATGTGATCTCAGCTCACTGCAACCTCTGCTTCCCGGGTTCAAGCGATTCTCGTGCCTCAGCCTCCTTAGTAGTTAGGACCACAGGCACATGCCACCACCCCTGGCTAATTTTTGTATTTTTAGTAGAAATGGAGTTTCACCATGTTGGCCAGGCTAGTCTCGAGCTCCTAACCTCAGGAGATCCAACTGCCTTGGCCCCCTAAAATGCTGGGATTACAGGTGTGAGCCACCAAACCCAGCCTGTATTTCATAAAATTTAACACTTGAATGCAAAGATATCAATTCAGCTAGTGGGACAGTTCCTAAGATCATTTGATGTCTATTGTTTTTCCCAATTGGTCAAGACAAATTTATATCTAAGTAGCAGTGTCTCTTCATCCTAATATGTAAACAAAGTCACAAATGAGCATCTTGGCGTAATGGAGATCAGTGCCTTTGGCTTCAGAAAAACTGGGCTAGACTCCCAGTTCTGTTCCTAACATGCTGTGTGATTTTGGCAGATCTCTTACTCTCTATGCATCTCAGTCTTCTCCCCTTTAGAAATGGGAGCAATTCTACCTTTTTCGCAGAAAAACTGGGAAGAGTTGCTGGGATATAATGCATATAAAAATGCCTGTCATGATGCCTGGCATATGATGAATGTCAGGTAAAGAAAACATGCTTTGGCAACGAATTTCCCTTCTCTTCCGATTTTTCCCAGTTGCAATGACAGCTGAGTCATATTTTGGAGCCATTCTGAAGCCCAAATTTCAGAAACAACAGCAGCAGCAGCAGCAGCAATGACACATGGTAGCTTTGCTCTGCTCTGAGAGCACTGGATGAATTTCCAATCTTGGTGTAAATGCCCTTGTAGTGTGGAGGCCCTGGTGTCTGAGCCTTGGTGTCCAGTTCTGGAGTCTATTATCCATTCCCAGGTGCCCCCCTCTACCCAGCCCTCTGGCTCCAGAGCAGACTGAAGGTCTCCCATGGGCTCAAGAGATCCAAATTTTAAACCTCATTCATTGTGCTGGGTGGAGCAGGGATGGTAACTACAGCTCACAGGTCAAACCCAGCTGCTACCTGTTTTGGTAAATCAAGATTTTTTTTTTTTGAGTTGGAGTTTTGCTCTTGTTGCCCAGGCTGGAGTGCAATGGCACCATCTCAGCTCACTGCAACCTCTGCCTCCCGGGTTCAAGTGATTCTTCTGCCTCAGCTTCCCAAGTAGCTGAGATTACAGGCATGTGCCACCACGCCTGGCTAATTTTGTATTTTTAATAGAGACGGGGTTTCACCATGTTGGTCAGGCTGGTCTCGAACTCCTGACCTCAGATGATCCACCCACCTTGGCCTCCCAAAGTGCTGGGACTAC